GTGAAATGAGAGACTAGCTGCCCATCAGTTACAATCACCGCTGCCTTATTTCGTCTCCATTCACATTCTGAAACTTGATTACTGCTTTCTGTGGAGTTTAACTGATTGAAATGGTGGACGCTGGGATATAGAAACACTCTCTTTGTGTGTTATTTTGTCTCTCACTCCTCTGAATCTGAGAGTTAGAGTGTGTTTACTCTTCTTTAACGCTGATATCGTGTGTTTTCTCAGACGGTGCACAGCTGTCCAGGTGAGCCTGCGCTGAGCAGAAACGAGCTGATCTTAACCTCCGACTCCATCATGAAGAGAAAAGACTTCCTGTGCTGTAAAGACACGTTTCTGGAGGTGAGACGATGCTCTTTTGTCTAGAGATTCATCTCTGTCGTTCCAAACCCTCATATGAGTCTACAAAAAGTAGACGTTTAGCTGAATGTTCACGCTGCTCTTTTCCATACAATGAAATCAAGCTCCAGTATTAAAAAGCTGCTGTTAAAGTTGTCCGTATGATTAAAATCTACTGGAGCCACATGATGCTTTGTGTTTAGATTGGTAGTTCTCAACCAGGATGCTGCAAAGTGGTTTAAAAAGATTAAAATAAGACAAAACAAGCTTTCAAATAATCTTAAACAGCTTTTTAAAATGTAATTTAAGTTTTTTTTTTTTTCTTTTCTTTCTTTTTCTTTTTTTTATCCCCTCATCAACTACGATTTTTTTGTTTCCCACAGCCTTGGAAAACCTAGACATATAAGGTAAAAAGTTTGATTTCTAGTTGTGCTGTCAAATGATTAATCGCGATTAATCGCATCCAAATTAAAAATTTTTTTACATAATATTTGTGTGTACGGTGTTTATTTTGTTTTTATAAATACACACACACAATCAGTATATATTTTGAAAATATTTACATGTATATACATTTATAATATTATATTTTATATTATATATTTAATATATAAACAACATATTTTCTTAAATATATACATGCATGTGTTTGTATTTATATATAAATAATAAATAAACAGTACACATACATATATTATGTCAACAAAAACTTTTATTTTGGATGCGATTAATCGCAATTAATCGTTTGGCAGCACTAATCTATTCACTAGTTCACTTTCACAGTTTATAATCATGGTCTTGAAAAATATTCTAACTCAAACTTTTGGAGGGATTTTTTTTTAATTAGGAAGCTTAATTATGGTGACTTTGAAGTTATGTGACTGTGGCGTAGTTCGTTTATACTTCTGGCGATTGTATTTAGGCTTCAGAAATTATATTTATATATACATAATAAATATACACAGTGCACACACACACACACACACACACACACATGTAAACAAACTTATTTTGGATGCGATTAATCATTTGACAGCACTAATTTCTAGATATGGAAAAGTCATGGACAGTTTTTTCTAGTTATGTTGCTAAAAATATTTTTTTATTCATTAAGCACTAAAATATTTTATTTGGTAGAAAGTGCTGAGAAATTGTAATTTGTGAGTAAATAATAGTAATAATAATCCTCTAGATTTCTTGATCTGGAAAAGTCATGGACAATTTTATGATGAATATATATATATATATTTCTAGTTATATCAAATGTTAAATATGTTATATTGGGTAGAAAGTGCAGAGAAATTGTAATTTGTGATTAAATAATAATAATAAGCCTCAAAATTTTAGATACATTTAGATGCATTTTAAATAAAGTAATGATTTCTATACCTGGAAAAGTCATGGAAATTTTTATGATGTTTTTTTAATTATGTCAAACTTTAAAATACTCAAACTCTAAAATACTTAGATAAGTATTTCTAAATACTTTATTTTAGAAAGTGCTGAGAAATTGTGATTTGTGGGTACAAATAATAACTATCCCCTAAAAATGCATTTGTTTTAATTATTTACATACTTTTATTTTTAAAATATATTTTTATTAGATTTTTGTCAATCAGGATTTTTGTAAATTCAGAATGATTAAATCTGTTTCACAATAAGATTGGATTTGATTTTGATTTAATGAATCTGTATTTTAAGTGCATTTGTAGGGTTATGTAAATGCTTCAACTAATGTGTCTTGAGTAATAAAAAGATAATCTACTTAAAATTGTCTTGAAGTCTAAAAGGTTGGCAACCACTCTTTGATGCTTTTTAGTCATTTTTGGAGGTCAATGTATGGAAAAAGCAGCATGAACATTCTGCCCAGCAACATTTGTGATTTACAGAAAAAATGAAACATAAGAGGTTGAGAAAAATATGATCGAATACTCATTTTAAAGTGAATTACTCCTTAATATCTCATAAAAAAAATGTATGCATTTCCCCAGTTTAACATGGTTAGTATGATCCACCTCTCTGAATTTACCCACAACCCAAATGTACGAATCGACCACCAAACGGAAATTGAACGATTTATCAAACAATAGAAAAATGATGAATGACAATCTGACAGGAAGTTCACACAAGGCCAAAACATACACAGAAAACACATCTCCTTTCTCATTTGATGCAGTTCCTCTTAAAGCTCCTAAAGCTTCTACACTCTTTGAATGCTCAGTTCATCAAAGCACTTTAGATGAACACATAGAATGCACTCGTCTTCCATAAAGAAACACGAGTGCTTTTATTGTGCTCACGAGAGGCAGCACTAATGCATTTAAACTACACGCTAAGAGAGAATGTGATGCATTGTGTCAACGAATCTCTCAACTAAAGCTCATTCCAAATTAGTTAAACTTCTGCCATCCATGTTGTATTTAAGATGTTTTAGTGTGGGTTATTTTAATTTAATGTGGTCAGTCTCTGTGTCTTTGGTTTGAAGGCATTGACAGACACTGGCAGTGATAAATACTTACAGGTACAGTACAGCATGCATGACGTGTGTGATTGAGTTTATTCATTTCTATATGCGAGAGCCAGATGTGTGTTTATTCCAGCATGAATTACTGTAATAACCAGTGTTTCAACTTGTGCTGGTGCTGATCTACACACACTAATCCTGATGCACACAGTCAGACAAACAGGTTTTCACGTTTATGTGAATTTGTGTATTTATGCCTCATTCACTTTGCAACAAACTAACCTTAGTTTCTAAGGCAACATATATAATTAACATTTCTAATAATGTGTGTGAAGTTTTTTTCTAATTTTGTTTTATTTCAGTTTTATTTCATTTGACAAACAATAGTTTGGATTTTAGTTAACAGTAACTAAGATTAAAGTCTTCACAATAAACACTGCATTATTTATATTTATTTATTATTTATTTGTATATACTGCATTATTAATTTAAGAACTTATTTAAAAAAAAAATAATGTTATTACTATTTTTATTTATTTATTAATTTATTATTATCATAATTTTTTTTGTCTATTACACTAATGAGATTTTGAATGCATAACATCTTTTTATTATTATTTTATTTTTTTGTCTATTACACTAATGAGATTTTGAATGCATAACATCTTTTTATTATTATTATTTATTTTATTTTTTTTTGTCTATTACACTAATGAGATTTTGAATGCATAACATCTTTTTATTATTATTATTTATTTTATTTTTTTTTGTCTATTACACTAATGAGATTTTGAATGCATAACATCTTAATGGTCCTTAAAATAAGTTGCATTTTCTTCATATGAAACAGTTATTGGTAATTTTAGTAATTTTTTTTTGTTTGATTTTGGGGTGATATTTGACATGTTCTTGATAGGCTCTGTGAAATTAATCCAATAATATATTATTTTCTACTTTTGTGCAATGCTGAATTATTTTAATTAATGATTTTGCTGCAGTTAATGAGCTCTGCATTGCATAACGGGTTCACTGTGTTCTTGTAAATGTTTCTAAATGCTTTTAAAAATCTGTTCAATTCTAGGAAATCAGAAAGTTCATCAAAACAGTTTCGGAGAAAATCAAAAAGACACGCGACAAATACGGCATCAACGACAACGGAACGACAGAGGTGAGAGCTCAGCTTCATATGAGAGTGTGTGTGTTTATATGCTTGTGTCTGATGGCCTGTTTTCTCATTCATTACAGCCTAAAGTTCTGTACCAGCTGGACAGAATCACTCCGACCCAGTTGGAGAAGTTTCTGGAAACCTGCAGAGACAAATATATGAGGTAACACCGTGGTGCACAAGCTCTAATTGACCTATCGCTAAGCCCCGCCCCCCTTAGTCACTGTTACTCACTCGGACAAACAAACGGAGTTGCTCACTGTCTTATATGACAGCTGTCAGTGAAAACCTTCTTCCGAGGGCTTTCTGATAAATTTGGGACACAGATGGACCTTCAAGTGGTACTTAAATATGCCATGGAGGGATATATTAAAGATATTAAAATAAATATGTAAAAATACAGATCACAATGCAAACGGGAGAATTATGTTACGATCGCAATGACAACATCCCGGATCAACACTGTTCATATACCGCAGAGTAAGATTCAATTAATTTACATTTAACCAGATTAATATGGAGAGGCACTCTAATATAGACCTTCGTTTATGTGTTTTTGACACATTTGTTTTGTGTTCATGACGTGAGAACAGTTCGCTATTTAGGTTTGTACGTTAGCATGGACTCACTAACTTGAGCGTTAGCTAGTTTTAGCCAGAGATACCTTGCTGAAGCACAAGATTACATTAACGTTCTGCTTGAGCAGATGAAAAGTGTAAATTAATGAGAGTATGACAACCAGAAAACGAACGTTTTCGTCTTCATTGTGATAGGGGTTGAATGCTTAGGGACGTTTTGCTCTGTTTTGGTTGGATTTAGGAAATGGAATAAAATAAATTACATTGCCTATCCTCTCAGGATAACTGGAATTAGTGTTAAAAGTACCACACGCACATCGTTTTTCCATTTTTGAAGCATAAACACCATCAAACCGATGCGAGCTTCGGATCTTCCAGTGTTTTTCTATGGCGCTGAAAGCTAAAGATGTCTGAGTTCCGCTCCCCTGATACTCGACTGCCATTGGCTCATCTGCGTTCAAGGGGAGGGGCTTACTGATAGGTCAATTGCACTTGTTCGTTCAGTAGACGGATGTTGATCTAATGAGCTGTGCGTAATCTGCTGCTGTGATGGGCGGAAAGAGCTGCACCATTACTGTCCATGTCAGGCCAGTTGTGTAATGCTTATGCAATGACTAAAATAATGTCTAGTATAGAGTAGGGTTGTGATGGTGAGGAAATTTTCCCACCGGTTAATCGACGTGTGACAACACCGGTAATACCGGTATCACCGTGGGGGCGTTCCCTCTTTTCCTCGCTTTCCTTCGCTTTTAAATAGCTTGTAAAAGAGGCATGCGCATTTTACTTTCACTTTCAAATAGCGGCAATTCAGCGTAAAGCAATTGTTCATTTGAATTTTCCCTCTTTTCCTCGCTTTCCTTTGCTTTTAAGTAGCTTAAAAGCACCGTGCGCATTTTACTTTCACTTTCGAATTAGCGGCAGTTCAGCGTCAATTGCTTGAATGCAACAACAAAATACAACGTCTAACTCATTTTAGTCTATATATAAAACATAGAACTTTTATTAACAAAACAAATAAAAATACACCATGCTATAGGGCAAGCTATGCCTAATATAAAATAACAAATAACTTACATAAAGTTTAAATAGGCTAAGTAAGCATGTATAATATATAACCAAATAAATAAGAAACGCAGAACGTTTATTAGCAAAACGAGTAAGAAAGCTTGGAGGCACGGCATACACCTTGATGTCAAATAAAATAAATAAATGACACAAAGTTTAAATAAAGTGAAAATCAGCAAACAATGTGGAACCAATT